TTAAATAAGTACAATAAAATAATAATCCCCAAACCAGGTAAAATAAATAAAATGAAAGACCAGTCTCGAGGGCCAAGGAAACACTGCCAGTAATTTCATATCAAGATCCAAATTCTGTTATGATATTAAGCAGTTTTTCTGTGCTTCTAGGCCCCCTTGTGTGCAGCAAGCTAGTGCAAGGGCTGGAGAGATGACTCCATAGTTAAGAGCACTGATTTCTGCTCCAGAGGACCAGGGTTCAATACCTAGTACCCACACAATGGCTCACCGCCATCTACATAAAACTCCAGTTCCAGGGGGAATCTGATGCCTTCTGTGGACTCCATGGGGACTGCACATACCATGCACAGACATACATTCAGGCAGAATATGCCATAGGTGAAATAAAAATAAATAAAATCTCCAGAAAGAAAATAGAGCAAAAGTATGTCGGACGGAGAGGATGTGAAGGGAGCATCTGAATCAGAGCTTACCCACTGGGGATATCTTTGGGTTTTCCTTTCCTCATTCCCCACTTTATGTCGGAGCAAAGTAACAGGTGTGTGGGAAGGGAAACACAATCCAGAAGGGCAAAGGCCACTTCCTCCTTCTGTCTTACACTCTGGCTCGACTGGCACTGTGAGCACAGGCCTCTGGCATGCGCACTGGAGCAGCCGAGCCCAGCTGTCCTGGCACTTGGCTGCACACAGCTCTTCAGCAGGTGTCTGGCTCAGCTGCCTGTTGTCATGCCCAGCCCAGACTGGCTGTTAGCAGGGGAGTCCAAGGACAATATTCCCAAAGCACATTGGGCAGTACTTTGGAGGCTACTACAAGCTGGATAAACAGTGGTAACAGTGCTTCTCCTGTCTAGTTGGCTGAAGAGGGAAATAAATATCTAACAATCCCCCCCAAATGCAAATAATAAAGTAGGATGATAAAAGGAACAAAAGAACAGTAGAGGGAGGGACGAGCTGGACTAGAAACTACGGGGAAACCTTTGTGGAAAACTAACAGTAAAGCGGTATCCCTGAAGACAGAAACACGGTGCAGACTGTGGCAGGACAGACCCAGGTGGGGAAGCAGCTGAGAACGGCCTGGGTGGGGAGGAGCTGAGGCGGAGGGAGGATGAAGCTCAGAACAATGAGGACACTCTGCTGAGAGTGGTTTCAAGTGGGGGGACGAGGGTGACAGTCCACAGGAAAATTCAGGTGTGTGTAACAGTCCCCACGCTACAGCTCCATGGAATTTGGATTAGACGGAAAAGAATTCTGTGATCTAATTTCTATTTTAAAAACAAAGAATTAGCATGATTAGCATGGCTGACAGATGTGAAGGAAATGGGCGAAAGAAGGAAGGGAAGGAAAGGGGCCAGAAGAGGCAAAAGCAAAAGGGCAGCAAGAAGCAACTTTGATGACTTCAAAGAGAATGTTGCCGGGGAGACGTAAAGTCTCTGGTAATTGAGAAACACTGTGGCCATGGGTTATGTTATGGTGAAGGGGGCGTTAAAGTCAGCATCCAGGCTGCTGCTGGAGCCATCAGACAGGTAGAGGTTCTTAGATTCAGAAAGCTGGAGGATGTGTGTGGAGGGGCCACAGAGGTGGCCCACAAGGAGTAGGAGATCAAGAGTTGCATGGTGGAGGTGTGCAGTCAAAAGCAGCTAAGCAACACATGTGGGCAGTGTCAGGCAGGCTATACGAGTTTAGAAAAGAGGTGTGGGCAAGCGTGCATGTCAGTCACTGGCATTCCAGGTTGTTTGAAGCCATGGCCTTCTAAGAAATACCAGGATATAAGAACTGAGTTCAGAACACAGGTAGATACCAGAGAGATGAGAGTAAGAAGAGAGGGGCCAAGGAAATATCTCACTCAATACAGTGTTTGCCATGAAAACGGAAAGATCCCCAAACCCACATTAAAATGTCTGTGTGTGGTGGCACACTGGGAAGGCAGGGACAGTGATCTCTGGGGCTCCTTGGCCAGCCAACTGAGTTTAGTGGATGACTCATAGGCCAGTGACAGACCCTGCCTCAAAAAAACAAGGTGGGAACCAGGGCACTTCCTGTTTAACCCGATGACCCAGTTTTGTTCCCGATAATCCACATGGCGGAAGGCAAGCATCAACTCCTATAAGCTGTTTTCTGACCTCCACATACATGCCATAGCGTGCTCACAAACAGAATAATTTTTTAAAGAACACGACCGATGGGGTCTGAAGAATAACACCCAAGGTTGACTTGTGGTCTCCACGGGAGCCTGTACACATGTGTATCGCCCCCTCCACAATCATAATGCAAGAGAAAGAAAACCAGAAGAGGATGAGCTACAGGGCAAAGTTGGAGAAGGCAGGGGGGAAAAAAAGCTAAGAGAAATAATTGTTCACAGTATCAAATGCCAGTCAGGGGTCTGACCACAAAAGTCTGAAAGGCCCAGAGTGGACTGGGAGGTCTAAAGTCCTTGGGAGTCTTAAAAGGAGAAATTCTATTGCGCGGTGGAGACTAAACCATCTGGAATGGGAAGGATGCTGAACCGGCAAATAAAGAGGAGACACAGTGTCTGCCGGTAAAATTGTCTGAGAAGTATGGGATGAGGAGCAAGGGTATCTATTTTAACTGATGATATTCTAAGATGATAATAGTAGTGTGCTACCTGTACAGGTGTGGTAAACTGGCAAGTTTTATGCAGAAATGCTGAAGACTTGAGAGGCAGGATGTATTGGCTGAACACAGAGGTCAGGAATTCCTGTGTCAGAAAATGCTGTTCTGTGGTGGCTGTTTAGGTGTAGTGACACCCATCTGGCCCAGTCTTTGTTTCTAGTCCCCTGCCCCCCAGACCTCTTTGGGAGCCCCTTACTCAGTTTCTGACATTTTTCACATCATGTGCTCAGAGACAATAACTCCACCTGCCAAGGCCCACTAATCCCCTAACAGCTGCAGGATCTGGTCCACGCCCTGAACTTCCTTCTTGAATGGCTTGTCAGGAGGGAGGGTGGGATGAAGTGGCCCTCTGGGCTTGTTTCTGCCAATGCTCTGGGATTTTCACCTCTACCTTAAGTTTCAAACACTGCCCAGCTTTCCCTGAGAAGTCAGACCTAGCATCAGGCCAACTTGCTTCACTTTTGTGAGTCTGATGCCAATGACGGAGGGAAACACGTGATGTGGAGACAGAGCTATAGGCAAGCTACGCACAGAGAAAGTCACACTGGTGGGAGAGGCAGAGTGTCCACAGGGAACACAATGCCTATTCTCAGGCCCCCATGAGATTTACCTCAAACTGCAGTATGATTAATTACTACAAACAATTTAATTGATACTTTTGAATAATAAAATACCAACTATACCAAAACAAGATATTTAATACCACCAACACAAGTTTCTGGATATCTCAATACAAAGGCTGTGAATGAGAAGATAAGCCATTAACTGAGACTGCCCATACACCTTCAGTGTGTGTGTGTGTGTGTGTGTGTGTGTGTGTGTGTGTGTGTGTGTTGCGGGGAGGGAGGGGAACAGGGGAAGCACTCACATGCCATGGCATACATGTGGGAATCAGAGAACATCAACTGTTAGTGGTTTCTTTCACTTTGAGCCATGATCTTTCTTGTTTTGCCACTGTGTTGTGGATTCTAGGCTACCTGGCCCAAGACCTTCTTGGGGAGTCTCCTGCCTTCACTTCCCGAATCTTGCTAAAAGAATGCTGGGATTACAGACACATGCCTCCATGTCTGCCTTTTCCCTTGGGTTCAAAAGACCCTAACTCAGATGCCAAGCTTGCACAGCTAAGGCTCTCCCTTTCTGAGCCATCCGTCTCCCCAGTCCCATACATTAGGTTCATACACTTAACTCTTTGATTTGACTGTGAGTTAGCGAAAAACATGCCCACTATCCAAATAGGTTCTTTGGAATTTCCAAGACTGGTCATAGAAGAAGCGTACATAAAGTTTGAAATGAAAAGGCTGTGCAGTAATTAATTTTGACATCCAGAAAATCAGAAAATGAAGTGGAATGTGTACACCAGCTTCCGGTTCCCATAAAGTAATTCTGAGCTCAGCCTTTGGCAATGAGATCCAATGCCCTCATTTACAGGTCGCAAACGGGGGTCTTAACAGGAAGTCACGTGCAGGGGAATTCCTTCCACATACGAGCAGTAGAACTTACTCAAATTGTAATTTTTTGTTGTTGTTGATGTTATTTTTCTTTGCCTAATAGAGAACTCGATAGAAAGAAAAGAATGTGTCAAATCTTGTTTGTTTCTTGCTAACCCAATTTGGAATTTTATTTTTAATTTTAGGCTTAGTCCAGTCGTTCCTAAATCATAATGGAAGAGGAATGCATACTATCTCCAAGAGGTGGAAATTCCCCACCAACAAACTAACACTTTTAATTCTAAGTTCTGCCCATTATTTTCCATGTATTCCCTTGTGGCCATCAGCTGATGTTCAAGTTGAGGCCTGAAACACATAAGACCTCAGCACAGTGTCACCTGTGGCCTGCAGATCACTTGGCAGTGTGTGGGGACCGCCCCTGAAGACAGCAGCACCTTTGTTCAACAAGCAGTGCACTTGCATTGGTGACAATGGCAAGGCCGGGAATTTGAGATGAATGGAAATCATTCATCTTATTTATGAACAGAAAAGTAAACAGAAATGAGGAACCACTGTTTGACGATGCCCAAGCCACCTTGCAAGGGCCCCAGTGATATACAAACTTGGTGCACTAAAAATAGTAAACAATTAGAACAAACAAACAAACAAAAAAACAGTAGAATCAGAAAAGGTTGATGGGGAAAAGGAACTTACTCATACGCAAGACCGGGCTGCCGTGACATATCAGGGTTTCTCAGCATCTACTGCCTGTTACCTGGCATGTCTTTGCTTTGTTTGTTTGTGATAACAGAGGACCTTAAGAACTTTTTTCTAAAGCCACATTATTCAGCCCAAATCATGCAATTCCATTTAACATTTAAATTCCAGTAGCTGGAACACTGGCCTTTCCCGTAGAAAACGCGTTCTAATATCATCCATTTACCTTGGTCTTTTCGCCTACGATGTTCTTTTCCAGTTCTGTGATTTTCCGGTTCAGATGATCCAGAATCTCCTTCTCCTTCATGAGCTCAGCCGTCTCGGATTTCTGCTCTCCATCCAAAAGAGCACATTCCATATCCAACTAAGGACATAAAAGACAGCGCAGAAACATTTCACCTTCAGGAATGGCTGTCCATCGCTGAGGTGCAGGTTTAACAGATTCTCAACAAGTGTTACTGACCAGTCAGACTGTGAGGTTCAGGCATGAAATCTGAAGTGCCTGCCTAAGAAAGCTGGGGCAGCCCACTATGTATTGGCTTAAAAAGCTAGTCCCCTGCCCACTTCACTTCTCTACGGCCACCTCTCCTCAGCGATATTTGGCCTAATTGCTTAGGCTTTAGCTTAAGAGTAAGCTGCCTGGAGTAGAGCCAGCTCGTCCTGGCCCTGGAGTCTGAGGAGTGAGCATTATCCCAGCCCCATAAGAGAGGCCCACATTCCTAGAGGATTCCGGGGGTGGGGGAGAGAACAGGCAATGGCAGGTGAGGAGTCCAGTCCCCGCACTGGACTCCCAGGACTATGGGCACCATCTGTGAGTGCTGACTCCGCCTATCACGCCAGGCAGCATTCCATGTTTTCTGCCACTCCATATGATGGCAACATTAAAAGTGTCACTACCTTCTACTTCTAAATGAGCGTGTCTACCTCCTGTTCTGCAAATCTATAGAAAGTTGGCTTCCTGTTTAATTCGCATGCAAAGTGAATCCCTTTATAGGACCTACATGATACTAATACATGGTAAGAATGGTCAGAAAATGTTAGCTGAATTTGAACTTGAATACTTCATAGAGGTTAATTTAGCAATGGACCTTGCAAATTGCAAAAGCACATATCGTACAAATCAAAAAAGTTTGGCTAGATATAAGGTGAATTAAAGCTGGCTTAATGGCTTGATGTGTTTATAACGTCAGATTACACAGCATACACACACACACACACACACACACACACACACACAATGTGAGGCAGGGCACTCTACGAGTGATTCCCACTAAACAAGCATTTGCTCATGTTGGTCTTTGTGAGTCCACTTCTCAGGCTTCTTCCACAACGAGAAGAACTATCTAAGCTGATGGGAAGAAAAGAGAAAAGGGACAGAGTGAGTTCCCAGCTTATACCTCTCTGGAGGATTCATCCATTTGGTCATTTATATCTTTGATTTTCTGTTCAAGTTCCTCAAGATTGTTCAGAATAACCATCCGGGCATCTTCCATTGAAGCCAACTCCTGAGTCCTCTGTTCCTCACCTATATCCTCTGGGGTCTGTGGTCAAGCAAAACAGACATGGGTTATCCACACTTCAATTCTAGAATTTTCCTATTTGACTTATAAAGCAGTCGCAAGGCTTAATGTGTCCATGTTGCTCCACGTGGAATGCCTGGGAGGGCCAGCCTGAGCTACATGAAACCTTTCTCTACCAAATGAAATATATCAGTTAAAAAGTATTTTAAAGAGGACCTGGGACAGTTTCATTCAGCCACGATGTATTTTCTCACAGAGACTATGCTGCTCTACGCAATTATATACCTAGACGAGAGCCAACAAACCAACTTCCATTCACAAATTTATATCCTTTTACAGCTCAAAGAACTAAGAGGCTATCCAGACCAGGAAGTGTCAGAATGAGCAGGTGAAGTAGCTTCTCCAGTGTTATAAAGTTCAACACACACAGCAGGGAACCAGAGACAAGGCAGGGCCTTTGACCCACTCCTTCAGGCGACCTCCTTGTTGCTATGTTGCTGGCTTCCTTACAAGCTCCAACTTTAAATCTCTAGCCACACTGCTAGGTCTTGCTATGAGGGCTGCCTCCGAATGAATACTTATACTTATTTATTCACTTCTAACACAAGGCAGACATCAGTTTTGGCATGACCATGCCACACAAGGTCAAACATTTGATACTGCTAGTGGATGCCTTGTGTGTTGTGTTAGTTCACTCTTCACTAACTTCGTCTTATAGACAGTCTTCTTACACAGTTAGGACATCAATAAAACAGAAATAAGATACTGGCTCCCATTTAGTTCATGGGATAATCCCCAGATTCAAGGAAAGCAATGAGAATGTCTATCACATAAAGGGACAGTATATTTTTATAGTCTCATCCATTTAATGGTAAATTGGGGGTAGGGGAAGAAAGAAATGCTATAGATGATGCACAAAACCCAACATGCCCGCTGCTTAGAAAGAAAACAGACTGAATCAAAACTGCCTCTTCTCCCCGGGAGTTTGGATTAGATACAAATATGGAGGAGATAGAAAACTTTATGTATGAAGAGAGATGTTATAATGATATTTAATTTTTACATTTCCCTTGGAATAAAGCAAGTTTTGGATGAGTAAGTTGGTGACCAGATATTCCACAACTTAAAAATGAAAAAGGCAGCCCAATTCAGTAAATTCTTGAGGACTCTTCTTTAATTGTTAAAAGGACCATTCACAGGACATGGTGGCAAATACTTACAAACCCAAAATGTGGGAAGCAATGGTAGAAGGACTGCTTCCACTTCCTGAACAGCCTGATCCACACAGCAAGGCTGAGGCCAGCCAGGACCACATAGCAGACCAGGTCTCAGGAAACCAAACCAACCAATCAACGATGCAAGCAAGCAAACAATCAAATAGGCAAACAAACAAACAAACAACCGAACCAAACAACCAAGCAACTAAACAAACAACCAAGCAAACAAACAAACAACCAAGCAAAAACCAAACCAAGCAAACAACCAACCAACCAACCAATTACCCAAACAACCAAACAATCAAACAAACAACTAAACAAACAACTACCCAACCAAACAACCAAGCAACCAATCAGACATCACAGTAATTAGGGTATCCAGACAATCACTGAACCTAAGAGAACTTTACTGGGTTCATTTAATTTGTTCCCTACTCCTGATATAACTTTAAAAAATGTCTACCAAGTCATATTCTACATTATTCACCTGGATTCTTAATTTCTTTACCCTATTCTGTAGTTCCAAAAGGAGACTGAAGGAGTAAAAATTTAAAATCTTGGCCTGGTATGGTGGTGCACATCTTTAATCCCAGCATCCTGAGGCGGAGACAAGCAGGTCTCTGTGAATTTAAGATCCTCAGTCTGCTCTAGTGAGTTGTAGGCCAGCTGTGACTACAAAGACAGACACTATCTCACTGCGACACACACTACAGCTTCCATGACAAGGTGATATTTCTTTGAAATCTTATTTTACTTTGTGGGGAGCTTTCAAGGGAAGAGGAAAGATATGAGGGAATGGGTAGATGAATGGAATCGGGGTGTAAGATGTGAAATTCACAGAGAAACAATAGAAAATTTTAAAAATATATCTCAGTAGGTTAGAACAAAGACACACAGGCCTTTCAAGCTTTGACATTTAGTTTTTGTATTGTCATCTTAAATCCCTGTCTCACCAACAAATTAAACAACTGCTGACCTTTCCATCAGAGAGAGTGGAGTTTATTGTCTCAGTGCTCAGGCGCTTGCTTAGGGCTGGGAGGAATGTCTAACAGTGAAGGGCGCCCAACATCACTGCCTAGTAAATACAGCAGGAAAGGCCCTAAAGGCCTTCAGAAATCCGCTGAAGGCCAGTATCCTGTTGGGCCAGCATTGCATATAAGGTTTCTACTTCCAACATGGTTTAAATATATCTGTCATCAGTGGAAGCAAAGCACTAAGAGAAGACAAAACAAATTCACAGTCTGTAAATTGTGCACTTTGTAGGGCAAAGAGGGAAGATAATTAACAATAGAAATGCTAAGTGTTCACATGACTCGGAGATTTTTTAGAAACTCTATTACAATCGGCATATTTAACAGGCAGGAGGCTGCTTTCTGCAATAAGGGTACACAAGGGATTTTTGGAAGCTGTTGGGATAAATTCAAGAGGCATTTTAAAACTGAATGCTTTCATTCGTTTTGGAAGATTTCTTTATTTGTCTATGTTTTGCCTGCATGCATATCTGTGCCCAAGGAGACGGTCAAATCCCCTGGAACTGGAGTTATACCAGCTGTGAGCCATTTGAGGTGGGTACTGGGAATCGAACCCAGATCCTCTGTGGGAGTCGCAAATACTCTTAACTAGTGAGATAGCTCTCCAGCCACCAAACTGAATACTTTAAGACAGAATGGAAGGAAAGTTTTATTGCAATCTCATTAATTAACAGAATAAAGAAAATCAGTGGAGAATCAACCCCGAGGCAGGAGATGGACAGCTTTATTTACATGGTAACAAAAAAGTGGAATTTGTAAATGCATTACCCTCTTTTCAATTGTGGGCTGTATTTTTATAGTAAGGTGCAGAACTGCACCTGTATGTGCATGAGCAAAGACATCATCTTGGAGGTAACTTGGTCCACAGAGCGAGAAAGAAGAGAGAGTAGGAATAAGACGATTTCTCCTCCTGCCAGTCTTTGGAGACCTCGGGCAGCCTGCAGAGGTGCATGGCTTTGCACTGCAGATGGAACAATTACTGGAAAATAGGTCAGGAGCTGTCTATGACTCAGCTGCCTCAGATTGTGCTACACAGCTTCACAAAGAAGATTCAGATGAGTGTATAGCCAAGGACATGAACACCTTTCAGTGCTAGGAAAACTAAGTTCCTGACTGGTAAATTTTGGGTTTCCCAAAGGTCATAAAAATCTTTTCCATGAGAGATTTTGAGTGGTTTTTTTGTTTTGTTTTGTTTTGTTTTGCTTTTTGTTTGTTTTTTAAACTAGTCCTCTCTTGTCTACTTTCCCACCTACCGGTTTAACAAGCACTGTACTTCATAAAGCAAATAATCCAGGAGCATAGTACTAGGAAGAGAAGAACACCCCACATTGAGGACCGGAAGGTTTGTCTAATTTTCTGTTTCTGCTCTTGAGTTATCACATGCCGGTTTTCGAAAAGCAGATGAAAACCTATCTCTTGGAACCCATTCCCCTCTCATATGCACCCTAATGTGCTTGGTAGCCATCTGAGATGAGTTCCATGTTTTCTGGATCTACCAACACAGTCTGAGACAATAGGCCCTGCAGCATCTCCAGGGCCTCCAATTCCACAAGACCTTATCTAAGCAAATGAAAACCTCTGCCAGGATCTATTTGTTTAGACAAGCTTGTCAGAGCCTTCTCCCAGAAGACCGCCTTTAGAGAGTGCACAGCTCAATGATTTTAACAAAATCAAGCCACTCTCTATAAAGGAGAAGAAATAGGAAATGAAACGGATGGAAAGGCACAAATCTGTAAGGAAGTGACTGACGACAATTGTCCAAGGTCTCAAAGGGGTCGCTTACTTTTCCTGAGTATCCAATAACTTTTTCAAAAAATAAATTAATTTATGTATACAGGTGTTTTATTTTCATGTAGGTCTTTGTACCATGTGCATATAGTATCCATGAAAACTGGAAGAATACATCTGATTCCCTGGAAATGGAGGACAGAAGACTGTTTCCTGCCACCCATTGGATGCTGGGAATTGTACCCAGGTCTTCTGGAAGAGCAGCCAGTACTCTTAGACACCGAGCCATCTCTTCAGCCCCAACACAGTATCTTTTCATTCTTTGATCCTTCCTCCATCTTTTCATCCTAATTGTCAAGTTTCAATTTGGCAGCAGGAAAGCCAGATGTGCTATTGAATTTATCTAAGATGGCACGAAAAGGGAGAAGTGGCTGATGCACACCATGTATGTAACCTGCACAGTTCTGACATGTAACCGCAGGTGCTCAGTAGTATGTAAGAGCTTCTGACCAGGGAAGTATTGCTGTATAGTTAAACTAAAAAAATAAAATCGCACATATGAGCTTCCTTGAATCCATGTGAACACTAGTTTTAGGACTTAGTACCATGATGTCAAATTCTAATGTCCCTTTATAAAGTCAATACAGCTACTGCTAATATTTGCATTTTTGTTCAGGGTTGGTCATGTGTGCGTGCGTGTGTGTATGTGTGTGTGTGTTTGTGTGTGTGGTGCTGGTCTTCATTTTGTGGGTAGTGCTGGACATTAAACACTAAAAAGGGTTTTGTGCAAGCCTTTTAACCACTGAATTATATCCCTGATCTTTTTCTTAAAGAACCAATATTGGGTTGGAGAGGTGGTTTAAGGGTTAAAAACACTTCTTGCTTTTATAGAGGACCCAGGTTCAATTCCCAACAACATGATTGCTGAGAAACATCTATAACTCCAGTCCCAGGGAACCAATGCCTTTTTCATTAAAGGATCTTTTGTTATTATTATTTTGTGGCCATGAGGGACATAATTTCAAGTTGGCATTCTATTAAGACTTACTTTAATTAGTAAACCCTGTTTGCTTTTAAATAAATAAACCCACCTCACACTTGTGGTAGCCTTTTCCCCTCTTATTTTAGTATTTTAATTTAGCTAAATGAAATGTATCTTTAATTCTAAGTAGCCTCTTTGTAGAAAAGATTGTAGAAAATTTTTAGAAACCTTCCTAGAAAACAAAAATTCTTAATTTATGGAAAAAATAACACTAAGAAAGTCACAGAACTTCATTTTTAAAACCCTCAAACTTGGAAGATATTTGTAAACCAATATGCAATCAGAAGACTGGGTAATAGTTATGACTACCAGTAAATATTACATTTCTATAATGGGTCATGAATAAAGCCACAGGAAAATTTGTCCTCTCACAACAAATGCTAACTTGCTACCAACAAGAATTCCTTATAATTAAGCAAAGTTTGGACAAATAAGTTTTGAAAAAAGAGGACAAAATGAAAAATACTTTAAAATACGAAAAGGTGCCTATTTTATGTATAATTAAAGATAAATATAAAACACCTAGTAGTTGGAAAATTGAAGAACTGGCAATACATAAACATCACAAAAGCATGGGGAATGCATTGTGCCATAAACTAGTACTGACAGTGTGCAGCAGAAGGATAATTTTTAATTTTTTTTGAGATTATAATATAATTATAGCATTTATTCCTTCCCTTTTCTACCTTCAAACCCTTCCACATGCCATTCTCCCCTCTCCTTAGAATTCAGGGCCTCTTTTTTCACGTATTGTTATTACATACATATATCTATATACATATATAGCCTTAAATGTAATCCGTTAAGTCAGTATGATGTTACGTGTGTGTGTTTCAAGACTGACCATTTGATATACTGGACATGTGCTCTTCCCTGGGGAAGACCACCTCTCCCGCTCCCAGCTTTTCCCAACTGCCTATATCAACCATATTCTTAAAGGAGTACAAGCTGGGGTATGTTCATATATAAAACAAATAATGTACAAGCCAGGTGTGGTGACTCAGACCAGTAGCCCCAGAACTCAGGAGACTGAGTTTTAATTTTAGTCATTCCACTTCCAGGAAGTGACCCAACAGACACAGGTATATAAAAATATGTATCATAGAAAATGACTGCATGCAAATTTTATCATTCCAAACTGGGAATAATATGCATGATCCTCCCACTAATCCTAATACAAACAATAATGTATCAGGGGAACGCAAAGTTTAAAAACTATATTGGCAGGTCATCTCGCCTGTGTCGGAATCTCTATCATCCAGGAGACAAGGGCTGGTGAGGCTGTGTGGTGAGCTGGGGGAGAAGACAACTTACCCATTGATGGTGAAATGTAATTTAGGACAGCTACTACAGAAATCAGTACGGAGATCCCCCAAAACATTAAAAATACAACTTCTCTATGATCCAGCAAGACCAATCCTGAGCATATACCCTAAGGATTTCAAGTTAACAGCCCACAGAGATAGCTTCACATCCGTGTGCAGTCTCATTGTTTAGTACAGATAACTTAGGAGTCAGGCTCAATGCTGATCAACAGATGAAAGTATAGAGAAAATATATATATATACATATATATATATATATTTATGTATACACACACACACACGCCAATACAGCATCATCTAGCCACAAAAAGGAAAGAGGTTTTCCCACCACAGGACAATGGTTGAATCTGGAGATCACCATGTTAAGTGAAATAACTCAGTCTCACATGTTTTCTTTCATATATGAGATGGGAGGATTAGGAAACTCACCCAACTAAAGCATGTTTAATAAAAAAATTTTTAAATCCAATGGATAAAAAATTTCCACCAGGATTTTGAAGAACAAAATAGATTTGTGCAGTATATACAAACGCTCCTTTAAAAGTGGGGGGCCACAGAGAGCAGCGGGTGTGTGTACGAATCAATATACAGGCAATCTAATAAGGCAACAGGACACACGGCTGCACTTCTGAAGGGTACGGCTGAGAGAGGCAAGGAGAAGATGCAGGACGGCTACATCTTCACAGAGCCAATGTTACTTTACAGCAGCGTGTTCAACCTTCCTAACGTTGTGACCTTTTAACACAGTTCTTCATGTTGTGGTATCCGCCAACCACACAATTACTTTTGTTGCTACCTCAGAACTACAGTTTTGCTACTGTTCGGAATTTGAATGGAAACATCTGTGTTTCCTGACGGTGTTGGGTAACCCCTATGATAGGGTCCTTTAACCACCCCGCAAAGGGATCGTGACCCACAGGTTGAGAACCACTACTTCACAGTGCTCTCCCTAATTCGCTGCACCCTGCCACCTAAGTAACTCTTCCATGGAAGCTGTACTCCAATACCAAGAAAATGCCTGTGAGCAACCTCGCATGTCCCTCTGAAAGCATAGCATGGACCGAGGCCCGAGTTGTGATCTTTCCACCCAGCATTACCTTCGGTAGGATACTGAGGTAGGAGGACTCGTTGGATGTTTTCAGAAACGCAGATGAGGATGGTGGGGGCGTCCTGGTGAGGTCACCAAGCAGTTCATCATTCCTGCTGCCCCTGGGAGCCAGGAAGTTGGCGCTGTGACTGAGGCTCCCAAAGCCCGCAATGTCAACATCCTGGAGAGAGCCTTTCCGATGGCACCTGTACCTGGCGTCCGGGCACACCAGAGCCTCCTCAAACACAGACTCCTCATCGGACAGCTGCAGCTTCTCCAGCTCCTTGTTGATTTTCTGTACATCGGCCACGGTGGTGCCAGCGGACAGGCGTCGGCCCTCAGGCTTCGTGTACTCGGCACACAGACTGAGGATGGTCTCCAGTCGTTGCCGCTCCTACAGCATGGAAGGAGGCAAGGTCACTGACAGAATGGAGACAACTCCAGACTGACTGCGGGGCCGGAGGGCTTGTTCACATACTGATCCACAGATGTCCTTCCTCCTGCTTGCCCTCCCTCCCTCCCTCTCTCTTCCTGTTTGAGATAGGATCTCTTCCTTAAATCCTCACCTCTTGAGGGCTATGGATGAACCATACCTGGCTTCCAACACCTTTGCTGGATGCATTTAAGGACTAGATAGAACACTTTGTGGTTCCTAGTTTCTCCCCTAAACACGGAGTCATCTGAATGCCCTTCCCGGTATATACCTGGGCTGAGTATAGCATACATCAGATTCCATCCTCTTGCTTTATTACGCCTCCAATTGAAGAGCTTCCTTTAAATTTCAATTTCTCTTGCAGTCTTATTTTCCTCCTTCTCCTAACCCACCTCTAACTACAACTAGCTCTTCCAACACTTGGGCTTAAAGCAAACACTCTAACTTCACAGTGAAATGTTCTTTTACTGTTAGACACAAGAGGAAAATGGCATTTAAAGTATCTTTCAGTGGCTTTGTTTGTGTCTTTATTTTTTTCCTTACATTTAAAATTTTTAATAATGACTGGTCATCATGTAAAGGTTTCCTTTATTTCCTCATATGAATTAAAACTATCTTTTAAATGTATGGCTGGGTTTCGAGGATGACTCAGCCAGAAAAGGCATGAACTGACCAGTCGGGTGACCTGAGTTCAATCCCTAGGACTTGCATGATGAAAGGAGAGAGCTGACTTCCATATTTGTGCTGTGACATGTGTGCACACATGTGTGCTCCTGAACACACACACAGACACATAAATAAATAATATATAATTAAGATGTATAATTGTTGCAATAAAATAAAGAACGTTTTATATCAGGTCCAGATAGAACAACATCAATATAGCTTAAAACCCAAAATCATTGAAAGTGTGATTCATGTAGCTGGAAAATAAAATGATAATCTACTTTAAAAAAAAAAAAAAAAGGTCACAGGCCATCAAGGTCTCACAAGCTGGCCCCTCACCAGATTCCATATAAGAACATAGACATTTATAATTTTAAGCAAATTAATAACATAGTTATGAACAGCAGGAAATAATTTACCAAATGGCTCTCATAAGCCTAGACAGCCTTGTCTGGGGTGGGGAGCCCCACATAAATCTAATGCCACAATGAAAACAAGAACCCAAACCGAAGGCCATCTGTTGTGATTAAATTCTACCACATTGGAAAGAGACTTCAAAAGCCCCCCTAGGAAAACCCTTCACAAACTGGCAATCGATAATAAAATAGGAACATATTCTGCACGCTGAGCTGCTTATTTTCCTTCCAGTTGCAGCTGATCTGGGAAGGCAAGTTCAAAGTTAGTTCTTTCTTAGTTATGGTAGTAACAAACAGAGAAGTAACACTCCACTGTGGCTCCCTGGTTTCCATTCAATGCACTAAGTGACAAAAATCAGAACTCATTTAAAGTGTATCTGACGTATGCATGCCCTTTGAAGTAGCCCCCTCCCTCTAAAAGAGTAATAAGTCCATCAAAAAGTCCATTGAACTAGTCCCCGGGAACTCCCACCTCCCTGTCACTGCTTGGACTTCTGGGCTCCAGCTGCAGGTCTGTCCTCATGGCCTCTTCCCAGGCAGGCACTCACAGCTGTACAAGTCTGACTTCTTTCCTCCAGGAGCCCTGGCTGTTATTTATCTCTGCAGCTGCCACCAACTGCCAAGTCCTACCCACCTCAGCTCTATGGGGACATAGCATCTACTGACTTACTTTAAACTCCCCCAACAATAAAGAAGAGTCTACACATAAATCCATAAAACACACTCCGTGAGGGCTGAGGTAAGAAGAAAGGGACAGGGGTTAGTTTTATCTTACCCTTTCTCTACAGCATCTGTACCAGGGACTGAATCTCCGGAGCAAACCTCCCTCTCTGCAATTTGGGTTTAAGTTGAAGCATCTAGACTCAGTCTCGGTCTTCATAGACCACACAGGATGCTCACAGTAGCCTTGTCACTGGGATTATCTGATATTACTGATTTGCATTTACCAGGACCCTAATAAATGGTATGATCTTCAGATGAAGGAAAGGTACTCCGGCCTAGACTAGGAGACACAGCAACATTCCTCCGACATCTCCTTCCCAAAATAGCTGCCTCTGCAACCGGGGCCGTTGCTTAATTTCAGAGGGAATAAATGATCCCATCCCTAAGATGGATGCTATTTCAGACTGTGAGAGGGAGTATTCAAAGGCTTGTGCACAGGAAGTTTGGTCTACTGGTATGTGTCTCGCTATTCTTATCACTCCATTCACAGCCAATCTGCCCAGATTGAATCAGACACACATGCAGCACCGCTGCCGACAAATCTAAAAGCAATCCATGTGGTGCCGAGACACGCTGGCCCCTTAAAAGCTACACCAAAGAAAAATAAGCTGATGCCGAGAGAGAAGTGCGTCAGAAGGGAGCCGGCAGAGCGGTTCAGAAAGCGCTCCAGGAAGCCTTTTAAGGAAAGCCCTGGGCTGAAGTGACCCTCTAGAAGCTTCTCCCTTCAGCTTGATCCATTCTGGTGTCGGGTTCCACACTAGTCATCACATGAGGATCCTCCACCTTTCCTGTATGACCTCAAGCCAGGGCACAAACCCCTATCTGCGTCGTGGTCTTCCTTGAAGCTTTGCATTGCAAAGTGCAAAGCTGGGAGTGGCCTGCTTTGCGATCTCCAAATCACCCTCCCCAGGGTCCCACTTCAGTATTCTCCCATTCAGAGGACTGGTGGCTGCTAGTCCAGATGCCAAAAGTCACTGTAATGTTAACTATGTAGGAAGCAAAATTATTGTAAAAAAACATTTTCTCTCTCCTTTCTTATTTTCCATTCTCCTATTTCTGTACCCCACATATAACAAGAATGATTTGAAGGGGTCCTAATAGTTTAGAAAATGCAGTGAAAATATTCTTGTGCAATTCTTTCACCAGAGACATTAGCATGCTTAAAGGTGTTGAGTGTGGGTAATAAATTTTTATTTCCAAACCTTCTACTTCAGAAGATTATTTCTGACATTGCTATATTACATCCCCTAAATGGGATAGCAAAAAAACCACCCATTCCCCCTGAAGCCAACATCTGCTGGTCTAGCCCACAAGACCGGGAAAATATTGAGTAAATAAAGTATGCAGAAAACCAGCTACCAATGCAGAAAACAGAAGTAAATGCCTGCTAGATGATTTGTTAGAGTATGCTGGGTCAATTATTTCACAGAAAAAGTGTCACCCTGTGTAGTTACAAAAAAAGCACTTTTCTCTCTTGTTTTTCTTTTTCTACCTCTTTGACAGGTAGGCATGGCTCTCTTTTCTCTTTTTTTAATACGAGGGATTCACTGTCTCCATAATCATGAGTCTGCAGAAAAATCTATCAAGTTACTTGCTTCCTGTTGGTGTATACAGAATGGGTAGGTGAAAAAGAAGAGCCTTCTTCTCTCATATTTTAAAAGGAGGCACAAAAAGGGACCAGCTAAAGAAACAGCAATCCACAGAGACTTATGCAAAACCCTAGGGACCAAGGATGGAAATGTAGCTCAGGGACAGAGCATAAGAGATCTGAAAACGACTGGCAGAATGAGGAGGGGTAGAAGTTCCAGGATGCCAGGAGCTCAGGCTAAGGTCTCAATTAAGTAGGCCTGGCTTGGTGATGGTGATGGACGCCTAGAATCCCGGCATTTAAATAGTTACAAGTCTGTTACCCTCTGCACTCTGCCCTGTGGGCTCCTTCCTTTGGCTGATGTCTATTGGTTACTTTCTCAAATGTCTAGAACTGTAACCATTATTACAGTCTGCAGAGAGTTCTGTGAGAGCTTCTAATGAATTATTGAATGTGATGCTGGCTTAGGGAACTCCTGGCCCTGCAGGTTGTATAAGAAATAAAGCGCTGTGTAGAGAAAGAATCGTTTCATCTGGACTAGCAGCCACCAGTCTAACTCCAATTTTCCATATTCCTTCAAGATACTAAGTACACTGAAATAAAGACAACCCATTGCTAAGGGGATAAAGACCATCTTGTTTAAATGTCCTAATATTTTGACCCTAGAGTTTGAATTCTGTTTCTGGGTAAACCTTTGCAGCTTCATGCAAGGCATGAACCTTTGTTTCAGCTTAGTGTTTGGAACAGTGTAACTATGGAGCAACACTACAGCACTAGGTTGTGATGAGATGTCTCTTCCACCGTTAGAGTAACCTGAAGGAAATTGCTGGAACAGGGCTATTCTGATTGAGACATCTCTCCCACCGTTAGAGCGACCTGAAAGAAATCGCTGGACTGTCCCACTGATATCCGCGCCTCTATTCCCACCAATACAGACCAAAATGTATTTCCCGCAGCACATTAAATCCAATGGAGTAGAGTCAAGAAAGAATTAGTCTTACCAAAATCCATTTTCTGATACACAGTCCATCCTTGACATAAAACCTGGGGTGCGACTCACACTGCCCTGGGCTCTGCCTAAGAACCTCAGAGGTCGGCTGAGTGATCGCATCATGCAAAAGTCTGAGCAGTTTGTCACTTCCTGCCTTTGCTTATACTCAGAGACATTCAGCATCACGTCACCACACGGTTCTCCAAACACGCATTTTACTCTTACACACGTGTGCTATGTCTCCCTCAAAACGATTGCCTCCACTTTTTTTTCAAGCTGTGTCCCTGTGTTAGAAGGGGCTAGTAAATACTTTAATGATTGAAAATGTATTTAATTATTAATACATGTAATAATGTAGTATTAATTATATATTAAGTATAGTGTTAATTTTATTTTCACACATATCAAACATGCCTATTGCAATATAATTAAACTAATTCTAGTAATTTCTACTCAGCAATTTTTTCTCAGCTAACATTTCCATCTATCAATCATTTGTATTTTGTTAGGCAAACTCATTTTAATCGTGGCCAGCAGACCCTTTTAACTAGGATCCTCTTGATCCTATCTTTTTGAA